TTCTTACCACCAGAATAGCATAAACACCATAAAAATGAACACTTCATCTATCATATTCGATTGTTGGGAACATCTGATTTACAAAAGATGCTGAATAAATATTTCTGAATAAATGAATGAGTGGACCATGTCCTGTCCAAAAGTTCATAACCACACACAATATCAACCAAAGGATGTAGCTGTAGCCAACACAAATGAAAATTGTGGGAAAAGAAAGCAAAATCCAATTAACTCCTGTTTTATGTCTCTGTAAAACATGAAAATAGGAAGATCTACATTAAGAAAGTAGTGAGAGATAGCATGGGGAGAAATCCCAGATATAGGTGATGGGGAAGAAGGCAGCAAATCGCACTGCCACATGTGTACCTATGCAACTATCTTGCATGTTCTTCACATGTACCCCAAAACCTAAAATGCAATTAAAAAAAAGAAAGTAGTAAGTGTTGGATCAAAACAGATAATATTTAAAGTTTTACCAAAGCAAAATTGTTAGGATGAGGCATATAAGCTTAAATCCACCATGATGAGGTATAATGAAAACTTATACAGTCCCTTAGGCAGGTGTAGAAATAGAGTTAACTTTGAAGTAAGTTTATTTGTAAATTATGTAAGTTAATTTTAGCAAACAGGAAAGACAAGTGAATATTTCACAAAGTAGCCTGGTCTTGCTCGGTCTTTATATGCTTTTGAGCTCTGAATTGGTAAGCGTACTGAGAGAAAGAAAAGAAGTCCCTCATTTTTTGTCCCATTAGAGAAAACTTTACCCTCACACAAGGTCCTGGACCCAGCACTTCCAATTACTGCAGATTCCTGTGGCTTAATAAATGCAAAATTCTGTATTCTTCTACAGCAACAGAAAATGGACTAAGACAACTGTTATTACATGCACTTGTAGGCATCAGAAAGAATCCACTAAAATGCCTTTAAAATTAAAGTGGTTATGTAAAAGATATTGTACTCCAAAAGATAACAACTATTTAATAATGACTCTGAATTATCATCAGATTAAAGGTAGGAAATAGACAAGGCAAGAAAACATGTAAATAACCACAATTTGCTTTGTGAAGCTGCTCAAACTTCAAATGTATTCAATTCCACGATAGTAAAATAGTGTGGGTCTACTCCTAATAAAGTAGCAATTACAGAACAATAATGAAAGGGTCTCAGATTTACTAAGGAATCTTCATCTGAGATAAATGCAAACTTCTGAGGTCCTATTTTTTTTACTAACAGAAAAAAAAAATCAGAACAAAGGGCCTCTGAAATGCCTACTTGCCCCAATACTAAATTAAGCCTTTTATTACATTAAGATAAGTGCTTATCTTTCCTATCTCAAATACCACCTTCCCAGCTAGTGAAAATGAATACAATTTAATAAAGCTGACTATGTCGTAATCATTTGAAACAACCATATTACCCACAGCATTTTGGTTTTTGAGCTCTTTATATAGAAAGTAAAAGAGAAGCATAGTTATGTACCATATAACATTTCAATCAATGATGGTGGTCCCACAGGATTATAATGCTGTATTTTTACTGTACTTTTTCTGTTTAGATACACAGATACCACTATGTTTCATTTGCCTATAATATTCAATATAGTAACATGCTGCACACGTATGCAGCCTAAGAACAATAAGTTAGCCTAGTTATGTAGTAGGCTATACCATGTGTAAGTATGTGTAGGTGTGTGTAAGATGTGTGTAAGTGCCTTCTATGATGTTCACACACCAGAAAATCACCTAAGACTCATTTCTCAGAATGCATCCTCACTGTTAAGTGATGTGTCACTGTACTTGTTTACTGAGCTTTCTCTGTGTGCTGATGGTGGTGCACATAGAGAGGGCTCAATAAGCAAGTGAGTTTATGCTCACCTGGTGGTGCTGTCCCATTCAATTTAAAAAGAAACTTTATAAAATGTATATCTTCATTTTACAAAGAGAAATCTGAGATTCAGAGAAGTTAAGTTTAAATGTCAGGGCATCCTTTTGGCATTCAGAATGTATGAACCAAAATTCCTTTAACATGAAGTCCTGGGTTTCTTATACATATCAGTTTTCTGGTGTCCGGTACTAGGAACCTTAATAACTTGTGTCCCATGAGTTTGGCTGGCACTCAGAAGTCTCAGAAGCTACTGTGATGTTCAACAATATCTGCTTTGCTCTGTTGAAATTTACACTGATTTCCAATGCTAGCATTCTAAACCCCATCTTCACTCTAGCAGTGGCTGGAACTTGAAATCTTATCCTTAGGTTCTATTTATTTCTTGTGATGATGACTCAGGCTACTGAGCACATAAATTATTAGATGAGGAAAGGAAGCATATCCCAAACAGAATGCATGAGATTGAGATGAGTAGCAATGTATGACTCTAGTTTGCAACTGACAGTCTAACACAATTCAGTTCAATTTTTAATGGATTTTTATTCTATATCTACCTTCTGAGTCAAAAAGCGTCCTTTGCCAAGAAACAATTTTATCTTCAGCTCCTCCTGAAAAAATGAAGATAGTATTGGTTTATAAAATAGTATGAAATCTTGAGGAAACCAAATACCTTGGGACTATGATGTTGACAGAAACCATATTGCTAATGATTTTCTTAAATCCAGTTACCTAAGCATTAATTCAAGCTTTCCAAAATAGTTCCTAATTATTTCTTCTTCTATTGAAACCAGTCTGCATGATGAAAAGCAGAATTATAGATGTCTCTTTGAAAAACAATAACTATGTAAAAATTAAGACCAAAAAGAGCAAAACAGGTAAAAAGAAAACCGGTATGGAAAAGGAACCTAAGACTTGTGTCAAGGGAGTTCAATTTCATACGTTCTGAGTGCCAAAAACAATGCCAAGATATTTCAACTGAACTTCTCTGAATCTCAGTTACCTCTCTGTGAAATGAAGATGTCTGCTTTGCAGAGTCGGACTTTTTTGTTGTTTGTTTGTAATTGAATGAGACAGCCCTACTCTTAGCACATAAAGAAGTAAATAAACATATCAACCATTACAAAACGAATGGCTAAAAATAGTCAATAAAACCTCCAAGATAGAATGTGTATAAAATAAAAGCAGCTTTCCTCTTATTTTTTTAAATACAGCATTACTGATTAGAGCAAACAGCATAAAATGTAGCAATAAAAAGTCATGATCACCTTTCTAACTCCAGTTTTTAAAGCATCAAAACTGAATAGGGAACTTCTGTTTCTGGTCAAAAAGTGGGGACTGGATTTATTACCCTCATGCCTTAACCAACTAGAAAAACAAGTACATGAAACAGTGGTTTTCAGACACTGAACAATAGGTAGCACAGGGCAGTGAACTCTTAGAGAAGGAAAATACATGAGATGAGTCTTATGATTTCACTAGTTTACTGCCTGGAAGGTAATTTTTAGATCAAAGCCCAGAGAGGTACAACCCAAACAGAACCTGGAGCTCTTGTTGAGTTGAGAAGATAGGAATCAGACTTTGAGTCAAGGCATCTCGAATTTGTGGGCAGGGTACCAGAGAGGAAGGAGTAAGCCACAAACGGAACTCCAGAGATCTGGCCAGAGGTCTTCGGCTACATGGTGATCTCCCCATTCCACAGCCAGGGAACATGCCACAGGCAAAGAGTAGCCTGACCAGAGAAATAACGTCTATACTTTGAGACCCATTTGTTAAACTGGGAATGTACCATTTTAAAATTATAAATGGAAACCCCACCACTTAATTCAGTCATGATATGACTCAAACAATGACCAACATGTACTCCTAGTCCAGGCACATTAAGTGTCTCCTCCACCCCATAGGGTGTTTTCTGTGTGGCTCAAGACGTTTATACATTCTGGAAAAGCTAGAGAGGAGGAGGAGGAGGAGTTCCTGTACCCATATTTTGTGCCTGGATGGGAACACCTTAAAACTCCTGAAGCCTGGTTAACACCCTATTACTCGATACATGGCTGGGAGCTAAAGTAAAGAAACTTAGAAAAAAAACATAGTTATGCATTTTTCAAAGGGGAGAATCCCTTGTCCTCATAGCCTCAACGTTTTGGATTTTATTAGAAAACCTTGGATTATTTCTAATCTTAGTTGTGCATGGTTCTGTAGCAAACATCACAAACCCTGGGTTAAATACCTCTGTCTGGATTCAGACTGTCTTCTGGAAAGAATATTTCCCCAAACCCAAACTTACCAAATCAATAGAACAAGGGTTTAAACAGAAATAAAATGATTTTATCACATTTCACCTATTTTATGGTTCTTCAAATTGAATGTCTTTGAGTTTCAAGGAGACTGTAGACATAGAAGCTAAAAAACTGGGTTTAACCTATTTGAAATTCTTGTTTTGTCACTCTCTGCCAAAATATAAGCCTTGCTTTCATTTCTTCCTGGTCAATATGCATTCTACTATCTGCTCTGTCATTTCCTCTTTGTCTTCCAATCCCTGTTCTTTCCCATGCTTTCCCACTGCATTCTCTCTGTTTCTCAAGATTTTTCTCTCTCATCATGCCTACTATGCTCAACACTGATGTATTCACCAAATGTGCTCATAAAACAGGCTCACCTAGAGCATGGTTCAAATGCATGGGGTCTGGAGCCCAGCAGTTGTATTCAAATTGTCACTGTTTACTTAGGGTTTTGCATGGTGAGCCACCAACGTCATAACTGGAGGAAATTCTGGTATTTTATTTTCTTCCAGAAAAAAAAAGGGGGCAGGATAGACTCAAGATTCACAAACCAAAGGGAAGGACCTATTCCACGAAGATGCTAGGGTTTGAAAAGCCTTGAGAACTGAAGCTCCATTTCTTATTTTTTCCATCTCCTTTCCCCTCCCCAGAACCAAGTAAACAGAAAGCTTTAGCATATGTAAGTCCCTAGGCTCAGAATATGGCCTCACTTCTGGATGAGCAATGGCTGTGTTCAGAATAGCTGTTGATCAAACTTCAATAGATCCTTTTAAGCCATCTCATAATGCAGCAAAACATCTGAACCAGAAAAAGACAATCATGCATCTTTTTTAACAGGTTGTGGAAGCTGTGAAAAAGCTTGTTACGCTGAAGAAGAAATAGACTTGACTCACCTGCAGGAGGCTACTTGGCTGATTAAGGTTTGTCCCTTTTGCAAAGCATCAGCTGTGCAGTCTTTAATTTTTCTGTGTAATTCCGCATGCCTCGCTGCCAAAACAGCCAGACTTAAACTCTCTGATTTAAGGAGCTTAAGGTAAGCTTCAACTCTTCCAAGTACATCAAATGCCTGCCAAAGAAAACATAATTTTCTGCTTTTCTAGTTTAAAATGTACATCATCGTGTACAAGAAACACTAGCAATTAACCCAGGCTGAACAATTGATTAGTTTCATTATAACAGAAAACAACAATCTTAATCTTTGAAGATTGTTGGAAAAAAGCTGTATAGTTTTTTAAGGCTCCATTTAGGGAAACCAATCATAGCTTAGTTCAATATAAATAAATGTCAATACCATAAAATCACCAATATAGCTTACATTGAGAATGTATCTATACAACACAAAGAGTTATAACTGCATAGAATTTGGAGAATCGGTCTGGTTTATTTTGTGCATTTTGTACTGTATACAAACAATAGATGAGTTGTTTAAAAAGATTATGCAGGCTTTTATGGCCCGAATGTAATATTCTTTAGAGGAAATTTCCCAGTAAATTCCACTTTGCTCTTGAAACACTGTAGGGAAATATTCAAGAAATTATGAGTGTCCCTTTTTTCTCTTGCTTTTTGCAGATATAAGATCTTCAGCCAAATTCATCCAAGGCATCCATCTGTCTTCAAAGAGATTAGAAATTTGTTCTGAAGCAGTGCAAAGAGTAAGACCAAGGTAATATTTAGCTTCTGACATGCAGAAAAAGGATTATGCAGAAAAAACAAACCAAGGTATCGTCTTGAGAGAAGATTTTAAAATTCCTTTATTTCCCTCCTTTATTAGCAGATCAACAACCCAGCATGCAGGATTAAGCTTATACAATTAACAGAAAGTGGAGAGGAGTTAGCCACTGGGCCATGAAGCCTTAGCTGGCATTTAGATGGAGGAGTGTATGATATAAAGGCAATGAAAGAAGACTGTGGAAATATGAGGAGAAAGAAAGCAGAGTACAGTCAACTTTGAAGGTCTCCTGACAGGTCACCTGATGTCTCTAGGAATAATTTCATCCTAGAGAACAAATGTGTCAGGTACACTGAAGAAAATGTGAACGGCATGGGAGCTCTTGCCACATTCCCCTTTAGCACTATTGGAAGAAGCCACCTTATGAAATGTTCTATACAAATCTGAAAAATAATCCTAACACAGTCAGCTGGGCAGTGCTATGTAGTCAGGCAGGGGCCTTGAAGTGTAGCCTCCCTGGGTTGCTGAGTTGGAAGCCAGTGAGCTTGGCAGGAGCTGACCAATAGAGTAGGAAGACCTCATAGAAGACCCTAGGTAAGGATCCCAGACAAAAGTAATGAGAACAGACAGACCTGTGAGTCCAGTACCACTAAGACCTGAAGGAGACCAGGTGAGCAAGGATGAGCTGGTGCTGGAGCAACACAGGTGAAGCCAAATGTAGAGGCTACGGTTATGGAGGTGCACGAATGCACTTATGACCCTGTGCCTGCTGCCATCTCACGGGGTGAGCTCTAGAGACAGAACTGGAACTGGGCAAAATTTGAATTTACAAATGAAATCACTCAAACAGTGCCTTACTATTTATACACTGATATTCTATTTTTCCCACCAATGTCCTCATGTCTCCTAAGTCTGCAATTCTGTTTATTTAGAATGTTTAAAACAAAATCATTCTCATTTATTTAGCGGTGAAGAGGAAGTTATAATAATAACTCTAGTTTAATACGAACTAACTACGTGCTTGCTTCAATACTGTGTGTTGCACAATTCTTATTTAGTCAACGAATATTGAATGCCTGCTTAGTTCCAGGCATATTCCCCTTTACAGTTCTAAGAGGACGTAAGAAATTATCCCCATTATATGACTGAGAAAACTGAGTCTCAGAGAGGTTAAGTAAATTGCACGAAGTCACACTTCTATCAAGGGGCAGATTTGCAATTTATACCCCATTTGTCTGGCCTTGAGACCACTGCTCTTAAACCCTGGGTTGTGGTGCCATGTGGCAAAGGATTACCTTGGAAGACTTAAGAAGGAAGGGCTATTTCAGAGAAAGTTATAATCTTGGGTGGAAACGGAGGGATTTTAAAACTTACTTATTGTAAGTATGTCTCAACCTTTTCTTCTTATAGGTTAGAAAAGATATAGAGAAAGGCTGAGAGATTTCTCTCATACTATAGGACTGTAAAAGAAAGAGAACTTAAGTAAAGAAAGTTTGACCCTGAAGAACTCTTCTTTATCTGATTATTTTGCTTTCCTGTAGTTGAAAATGGAGCCAAGTGCAACAAGATGCTGATGATAGAAAAGAAGATGATTGGCTGGGCACCAGTTGGACTGAGGTCAGCATCCAGCCCATTGTACCAATAGGTATTCTACAAATGTATTTGTTGAGCTAATGAAGGAATAAAATCACTTTCCTCCTTTCTACTGCTCTAGTTCTATTAAGTGTGATACATAGAACAATTTATAGTAAATATTTTCTTTAGACATTTGAGAAAAAGCTCTGTAAGATAATTTGGCTATTTTGATTCTCCGTTATGGGTTATCTTAGTCTTTGATATATCATTCCCTCCTTGTAGTGAATGCTTAGTCTTTCAACTTATTTCTATTTTATTAGGAAGTGATACTTTTATTATAACACTCAGGAAAGGGTGGAAGGGGTGGGCTCATGCCTGTAATCCCAGCACTTTCGGGGGCAGAGGTAGGTGGGATCGCCTGAGGTCAGGAGTTTGAGACCTGCCTGGCCAACATGGTGAGACCCTGTCTCTACTAAAAATACACAAAAATTAGCTGGGTCTGGTGGCACACACCTGTAATCCCAGCTACGCAGGAGGCTGAGGCAGGTGAATCACTAGAACCTGGGAGGCAGAGGTTGCAGTGAGCTGAGATCGCGCCACTGCACTCCAACCTGGGCAACGAGAGTAAAATTCTGTCTCAAAAAAAAAAAAAAAGGGAAGAAGATGATACAATGACTTTCTCTATCCTTCCATAACCCATTAAAACATCATTTGCCAGTAACCACTGTTTCTGAAATTTTAAAACATTTTAAAATTCATATTGCCTATTTTGAATAAGGGGAGTTTGTTGTTAATTGGGGGTTAAAGTCAATGCCTAAAGCAAAAATCTGGCATAGTCAAGATCATCTTGAACTCCTTTGAATCACCCTTAAAGTTTAATATATGTGAAATTAGTACATATAGTAATATGTATTCACATTTAGAATTGAGAGCCCCTGAGCTACACTAAGGGAAGAAATAAAGGGACCGTCTGTATGTAAATGCCCGAGCCTTTTTGCCTTTCTTCCCTTAGGGTAATTCTCAAGTTTTCGGTGTGAATGGAGAAAGAATGGAAAATTCCAAAGTGTTTTTCCTTGCCTACACATTTAACTCCAATTTCTAATATTAAGCCACTATCGCCTTAATACGTGTTATGTTTGTTGTTTTGAGAATTAGGAAGAAAAATGAATAAAAGTAAGTGGGTTTCATGTTAGACATGTAGTAGGTACTCGGAAAATACTGGCTGTTACTCTAAATCTTGAATGATAGAATCCATCTTTAAAAGGTCACTGAGAAGAGCATGGCCACCTGGTGCTTGTCATTCATCCCACATGGGCCCTTCCTCTGTGGCCCCAATGAACATCTGCCACTCTCAAATGCTCAGGCATTGGTCTCATCTTTATTGAACTTAGATGCTAAAGCCACAAGGTCATTGAATGCATGTATGCTATCACTCCACCCCTTCCTGAATGTTATAATGAAAGTATTACTTCCTAATAAAATAGAAATAAATTGAAAGACTAAGCATTCACTAGAAAGAGGAAATGATACATGAAGGACAAAGAAAACCCAGAACTGAGAATCAAAATAGCCAAGTTATCTTCCAGAGCTTTTTCTCAAATGTGTAAAGAAAATATTTACTCTACATTGTTCTATGTGTTATACTTAATAGAACTAGAGCCATAGAAAGGACGTAAGTGATTTTATTCCTTCATTAGCTCACCAAATACATTTGTAGAATATTGGTAAGATGGGCTGGATGTGGACCTCAATTCTAACCAAACCCTAATAGGAATAATCTGTAGACACAGAAATAAGAGTTAAATTTCTGGACTTTAACAGAAAGCTACTTTCAAGAAGACTATACTGTCTGTGAATGTCTGAATTATATGCAAACTCATTTCTCTTGTTCTTATGCAGAATTTGATGAGAACTATGTGCCAGCTCTGGAAATGATCTAGGTATCATTGCTTTCACTTAATCTACCCTCAAAATAGAACTGAGTGCTTTTCTATTTACCATATCCATAAAGAACCTGATATATGGGATCCAACCTGGAAAGACTCCCTCTGCTGTACACACAGCACAGAACATATTATTTTTGGCAAAAGGAACACCATGACCCCCATATAAACTTCTTTGGAAGCAATATTTTCCCTTTAGTCTTTTTTCTTTCACATACCCCTCTTCAAACCTTGTATGTGCAAGTCAAATAAAGCTACTATGACTGGATTGGGAAAAAATGACACAGGACAAAGATATTTTATCCCTCTGGTTCCTAGCTCTTGTTGACCATTTCACATGTACTATTCAGTTTCTAGGCAGGTAAGAAAATAAATCAGCTCTTTCTGGCCTTGTTTTTTTGTAAAGACTAAGGACTTGCTTGGTGTTTGTTCTTTATGAAACTAATAAAGACCTTTCCTTTTTCACTGTTTAATACAGGACCCAAGGGAGCCTACACAAAACCAAACAGATAGTACCAGGAGATGGCACGTTTCATTCTTTTAAAAATATCTACAAGATGAATTCAAACAGGAGCCATGAGTCATCTAGCATAATTCTATCATGCTGTTTCACAAAAGGTGTTTAATAAGTAATATTGTTTGCTTCTTGACTAATCAATTTGAAGACAGACAATTAAACAGGAACAACAACAGAAAGAAAACAACAAAACCTAAAAAATTTCCTTCCACGAGTCTAGTGGCTGGAGAGAATTTTGTAGGAATGCTTATAACTACCAAAAACACAAATCTCAGCTCAGTGCTGAGCTGAGTTTAATTAGTGCTTCTAATTAGAGCACCGGATTCCATTACCTGGAGAGATTCAGATTTCCCTTGGGTTTCATTACAAAGACCAAAAACTTCCATTTCCTTTCCTATACATCACCTGAGATAACTTCTGGTGGTTCCCACTCTGGGGAATTGATTCCTAATTCATGTCCTGCCCAAATCTGCCCAAGCGTTCAAATGTCATGAACACCAGAGTATAAGGCTGATATGATTTTTAAGCTCCCAATATTTCCTGTCCCCTACTGCTGCTCCAGCTTCTTGCTTGCCTGTCAAGGGCAGTTTCTGCTGGACCACAGAGCTCCCTTTTTGTTCTAGGGTGAATTCATGGTATTAATGAAAGGTATTAAATGCCATTAGCACCTATGGAAGGCTTTTGTCTCCTAATCTGAAAAGCTGAGAAAACACTGGAATAAAAGGAGTTTGGGATTGAAAGTGGTATGTATCTGAAGCATTTTATCAACAAGAAATGGAGGAAGTTTATGCATTGACCATCTCTTGTTCTGAGGCAAGAAATAGAACTAGACCCATTCAATAGCACTTTAGACAGCTAGTCACTATTTATAATTTCTGGTTTCTTTTCTCTAAGTTGACCTAAATGACTCTAAGGTGATCTTGGGAATAACAATACAGAAAATGTGAGTTTATAATGTGTAAAGCATTTATTTTTTCATTTATTCAAGAAAACACTGAAATCTATGGACTGTGTACTCAGCTATGTGCTGGGAATATGAAAATGAACAAAAGCATTCAATCACATTGGAGTGGCTAGTGCAGTATTAAATTCATATGTAAAGACAAAATAAGGGCTAGCACTTAGTGAGTGCTTAGCAGTTCTGTGCTCTAGCCATGCATTAACTTACTTAGCACAATGACCCTGTAAGGTACCAATGTACTTCTAATTTACAGGGTAAAAAAGCCAGATGCACAGGAAAGTTAAGTGACTGCCCAAGGTCATAGAGCTAACAGATGTCTGAGATCAGATTCATACTCAGGCATTCTGGCTCCAAAATATACTGTTATTTTGGCAAAGTGTCATGCTATCAAACATTTCTAATTGTCACTTAATAACCTAAAATTCCATTTATTTCAGACTCCAACTCTATCCCAAAAGGATTGTGTATAATTTACCACCAATTACAAGAACTTTTATTATTGACTGATACTCTCTGAAGTAGATAAGGATTACTACACTGATTTTAGAAAAGAGAAAACTCAAGCTCGAAATGTAAATTGGTTTGTCACATAGCCATTTATTCATTCATCTAACACAAGTTTTTTGAACATATGTGACATTACAAAGAAGATTAAGACATAATCTCTCTCTTGGGAGAACGAGGTGGGCGGATCACGAGGTCAAGAGATCGAGACCATCCAGACCAACATGGTGAAACCCCATCTCTACTAAAAATACAAAAAAATTAGCAGGGCATGATGGCACGCGCCTGTGGTCCCAGCTACTCAGGAGGCTGAGGCAGAAGAATCGCTTGAACCCAGGAGGTGGAGGTTGCAGTGAGCCAAGATTGCATCACTGCACTCCAGCCTGGCGACAGAGCAAGACTCTGTCTCAAACAAAACAAAACAAAACCAAAAAACAAGACATAATCTCTAAGGAGCACAGAGAAATATTATGGAAATGACACAAAATAAGCAATTAATGCTGTCTCAGAGGAGGCACTATGTGTAAAAGACAAGCCTTTTGCACAGCACTACCTGCCTTCTCAGATATGATGCAGAGATGAAGCTTTAAATTTGTGTTCCTTGTATATTAAAGTAATTAAGTTATCGTCCTTCAAAATGTTTAAGTCCCAAGTACCTTGTATCAATATACTCTCCTATGAACAATTTCATGTAGTTGACCTTGAAAATCTACAGTTTATAATATTTCACTGCTCTCAGTCATTCAAATAATTATTGAATACCCACTAACTAGAAGTCACTGTTCTAGGTGTGTGAACACAAAGTGAAAAGGACATGTTTCTTACTGTCAAGAAATTTTAATTTAGTAAAAGAAATCTACCCAGAAATAAATACAATACTAGACAGAATGTGTTTACTGCTGACAGAGAGATCCAACAATCTGATATTGCACATAGAAGAGAAACCAATTAATATACTCTTAACTTAGAAATTCATTGATAGCTTAAATGTGAAAGGTATTCATGAGTGAGAACGATAAAATTGAACATCTTGATTATCAGACTATTAGACATGAACTGAGTTGTGGGCTCTCATGAGACGTTTAAGATATTAAAGGTGTTCCTTTTTCTATATTATTTTCTATAATATATCTATTTTAATAATTGTATGCTAATAATGTAGCCGTATTTATCAAATACTTGCTGTGGTTTAAATAGCCTGAACTCTGAGCTCTAAAATCAAAGGTTTCTAAACCCTGCAGTCATTATTCTCTCCGAGGGAGTACAGGAAGAGGATAAATTAAGACATCATCTGCTTCTTGTGGTGAGGTTTGCATCATCACGACTTTTTCAATCTTAAATATCTCTGCATATTTAAAGACATGTTCAGCATAAAATAGAAACTCCTTAGCATGCTTTTCAGAACCCTTCCTGATATCCACACCTGCTTCTACGACCTTCGTCTCTCATCACTTTAGGCGTACACCCTACACTCCTGGCAAATTGGATTATCTTAGGTTCCCCAAACATGGCATCACTTTGTACCATCCAGCCCTTCCTCGACGCTTCTTGCCCCGTCCTTTCAAACTTATCTCAGCCTGTCACCTCCACTGGGGAGTCTTCCTTGACTCTTTTTTCCCTAGGCCAGATTAAGGGTCTCTGCTCTGTGTACCCTAATGCTTTGGGCTTACTCCATCATAGCTTTCCCACAGCCCAGTGCCCTTCTCTTCCCTTGCCTCTCATCTAAACTTGACTGAGAAGGTCTGGAAAGCAGGGATTATATCTTCCACTGGGTTCGCTCAAGTACCCATCTGATGCATGGGAAGAATAGGAACACAATATATTAGCTGAATGCAAATATGGAAGAAGAGAGGGAGGGAACACAAGTGGCTTTAGTTATTTCTAAGTGAAAGGGGAGTTGTTCTGAAAAAGAGGAAATTAAGACAAGCTGCTGAGGAACTATAAAATTGAAAGTAATTACATTTTCCTTGATATCAAAATAAGATTTAGCCTTTCTTGAATTCATTTATATCACTCAATAAATTCCTTCTGGATAATATTTTTCAGGTACTCTACTTGGGCAGGTTTTTTAAAATTTCAATCTATACAGCAACTGGACCATTTGAAATTAACTGTTTTCCTCAACTCGGCCTAAAATGTGTTTATTTTGAAAATGGTAAGATCACGCATCTATCATGTGTATATATATAAATGAAAAAAATGTACCAAATTCCATGCTTAAATGTTTTCATCTGAAACAATGATGCTGCTATAAACATTACTGTGCATCACTGTAAATATCTTGCAAAAGCAACATCATCTTTTTTTTTTTTTTTTTTTTGAGACGGAGTTTCGCTCTTGTTACCCAGGCTGGAGTGCAATGGCGCGATCTCGGCTCACTGCAACCTCCATCTCCTGGGTTCAGGCAATTCTCCTGCCTCAGCCTCCTGAGTAGCTGGGATTACAAGCACGCGCCACCATGCCCAGCTAATTTTTTGTATTTTTAGTAGAGACAGGGTTTCACCATGTAAGCATCATCTTCTTGGAAGACATTAAAGTTTCAACAGCTATGGCAGAAACAATGGAAGCTATAACAATTGTTACATTTCAAACTACTTTTTATGTGTTTCTTTGGCCACCCCAACTTTTGCTTTATCTTTGCTTTCAGGCTGACCACCCAAAAATCAGACCATGTTTGTAAAATGGATTTGACCTCAGTTTCCTCTGCTTGCTTTCTTCAGTGAAATCAAGTGCCTAGGAATGGAAGGGATAGGAAATGATACATTATGAGCAGTCAGTCATGTTTTACAGTTTTGGGTTCAGTTGCAGCTGTCCTATAAATATAGGCTCACGCCTTTCTGTTTTTGAAACATGTATTTCTCTCTGATTCAAACTACATTCCCTTGACAATGATGAATACATTTGAGGTGATCAATAAATATCAACCGTAGCTCGTTTTCTGTGAACACAGTAGCAGTATAATAAATAAGATAATCTACAATCCTGAAGGATGAATATTTTGGAGGAACAAGGTGATTATTCTAATAGGTGCTATATTCATATTTCATGCCATGTTCTCATGAGTCTTAGCAACATCTGATAATTAGAGCAACTCTTCTCCAATCAGCTATTAGTCATTGTCGACAATTGACACTCACTTGTATATTCTGCTAAGTGATTTAACAAATAGCTTCATTCACCAAACACATTAGGAAATTCTAAAAAGAATAGGAAGTATATCAGATTCTTGAGTTACATGGCTCACTCTTCACTTGAATCCAGCGGTTGGTTTACAGCAATGGCATCTCAACATCGCCACCTGCTGCTCACTCTGGGTCCAAACATGCATAACTCAAGCCACAGACTGCCAGACATTACCTCAGTGAGAAACATTCCTGAAACGGGTAATCATCAAACCCTAGCAGAATTAAAGGCAATCCACTGCACTCCTGGAGCCCTAGACAAAGGCAGTGAGGGAGCTGTTGTCAACGTGGGCAATTAAGTGATAATTATATTTTACTGAATTTCACAAATTGGAAAATATATTGGCTTTTGGATTTTTTGTATGTTTTGATCTCTGCTATATCCCCAGCATTTAGAACAATGCCTGACACATAGCAGTGGCTCAATAAATATATACTAAATAAGTAAATATGTAAAGAGAAGAAGGGTAATTATTCTCATGAATTCATCTTTAAATAATAAAATAAATATTGTGACATATTTCTAGTAACTAATAATATCCCTACCTAGAACTGTTAGAGAGAAGAATGAATGAAAATGAAAGGAGGTGTGACGTGGTGGCTCACACCTATAATCCCAGCACTTTGGGAGGCCGAGGAGGGTGGACTGGATCCCCTGAGCCTAGGAGGTCAAGACAAGCCTGGGCAACATGGCAAAATCCCGTCTTTACAAAAAATACAAAAAACTAGCCTGGTGTGGTGGCATCCTAGCTGCCTGGGAGGCTGAGGTGGGAGGATTACCTGAGCCTGCAAAGTCAAGGCTGCAGTGAGCTGTGATCATGTCACTGTACTTCAGCCTCGATGATGGTGAAACCTTGTCTCCACTCCCCCCGAAAAAAGAAAGAAAATGAAAGGGGGGAGAGAGTCTCTTCAATATATTTAACCAGAAATATGATAACAACCTGGACGAAGAAAGAAATATATATGAGAAAATTACTAACAGTCTATTCTGCAGATAAAATGGGATATTCTTTTTAACAAAATTCAAAAAAAGTAAAAAGTATATTTAAAAAATCATATATTTCACTTTTTACCGAGCTGATATTCAAGCTATCCCACTCACTTATTTATATATTGCCCACAATACTAACAAATTTGTTACGCTAATATTTGACAAAGAAATGGAAAAAGTAATATTGACCTAGCTTCAACAATTTTGGAACAAGAGGTTGTTTGCTAAAAAATAATTCCTCTTACCCAGAATGAAACTGATTTTCAAGGAAAGTACCTTTTTGTAAAGTGCTGACTTCAAGTTTTATTCCTGCAGTGCTAACATCCAGATCTGCATGTATTGGGAGAGAAAGTTCATGGATCTCTGGTGCTCCCACTGGTAGGTCAAGAATGCAGGATTCTGACCCTTCTACATCTGGGCAGATGTAGAAGTGTTGAGTCCACAATAGCAACCTCCAGGGTTGAAGTGATGTTGCCCTCCAAAACAAAGAGCAAACTTGCTTCCTATTTGCTGTAAAACTGCAGATTCCCCAAGTTTAGGGTTCCTTTCCTGAACCCCATCTGCTACAGCTGCATACATCCATCTGGGCCCAGCTGCATCACCCAGGGAGAATTGGCACTGGGAGAGCGGATGTGGCATACCAACACTCTGGCTACTGCTTTGCTGTGATAAATCACCTCTGACCCAGAAGTCAGGAGTCTTCTGTAATCATCCATGAAACTGTGATGAGTTAACATGTTAGCTTGAAAGCCGGGTAAAATCTCAAGGCCCTCATAGTTCTTGAGAGCATGACTTCATCCAAGAACAGGACTGTTCACAATTAGGGAATCCCAGTGTACTCAAGGCACAATAAAGTGAATTTTCAAGAGGAAAATTCAGTGTTTTGGAGACAACTGGTTATATAAACTGAAAATACCTTTTCACTAGTGTAAACAGAATTTTATTCTAGAAAAAATTTTGAGGGATTTTGAAATTATATATTAATTTTAAAAATTCAGTGCTTTATTTAAACTAGGGTTATGAGTGTCACATTAAAAATTGAGTACAGTGGTCAGATTTTTGTAAAATTTGGAGATTTTACAATATCAGTAAAAAAGAAAAATACCATTTATAGGCCACAAGAAGAGTTTTCTTTTTAAAGTGGATTTATACTATATGATTTCATCATTTATTTCTACCTAATAATATAGTAAAGAATTCACTACAAGAATCATGATCAACAATCTACTTTCCCAACTCCAGCTTTGGTTTTTGCTAAGGGTAGAAATATCCATTATCTTTCACATAGAGTTCTTAGATTTGGAGTCAGAAATTATTTTCTTGATACTTTGTAAAGGGAGAGGATTCTAACACTATTCTGAGTGCCAGGTGGCTATAGAACATGCTATAATATGGATAACCCCAGTGGAGCTCATTATGATTTGTATAGTTAGCATGCCAAGGCTTTCAAATGATAAAACAGGGAATCTAGAAATCAAATGTTTTTGTGGTCAAGAAGCATGAATTCTCTTCTCCAATCTGTCCTGAATTACTGTATGAGTCTGAGAAAGTAACCACTGTCTTCTTCTCCTTAAAAAAAAAAAAAAAAAAAAAACTTTTGCAGGAGATATTCCTTCTCTGTTAAAACCAGGAAAATATCCCAGCAAAGTACAAAATAATGACATCAGAGAAAGCAACAGTAAGAAAATGAGAATGGAAGAAACCGTATTTTCCAGGCTTTAAACTATAGGGTTTGTACTGGAAGCATCGTTTTATAGCAATATGTTTGATAACTCTTTTCCTTAGAAGCAGTATTAACTGACTTGCAGATGACCCACTCATTTTGAAGAATGAATATGCAATGTAAATTTAAAAGTCTCTTATTCAAAAACAAAATTACTGAGGAGAAACTTAACTAGCACCTAACATCTAATTAGTTCAACAGCTCCAGTAATATGGTATATCTGTTTCCTCTCTTAAAGAAATTCCCAATGACAAATAATTTGACAATAAATCTTTAACATTTTACCACAACTCAGCACCTCTGTTTTGAAATTTTACTATTTATTGTTTAAAAAAAAACTTTCTTATTATTAAAAAAGTTCAAAATTAAGTCACTATTTTGATATACACCAGGACACTGTATTCAGGGTGTTGACGTTGTGATTTTAGATCACCATGTACCAAGTTTCCACAGTTTCCTCATTCAATTCCTGTCACATTGTCTGCTTTGAAAACAACAGTGAAATTTGAAGTATGAAACAATTCCAGCAACACCATTTGAAGGTGTATGTTACATTGGAAAAGGTAGAAAATGTTTTCAAATAAGATCACCAGCCTCATATACTGCGCTGTTCTCAAGTGATGTGAACAGGTGAACATTGCTACTTAGCAGGAACCACCTGTTGCAATCAATGCCCAATGAATCAGAGAGGAGAAACAGCACTTCTCCAACTCAAGAAGACCTGGAGATGGTCCAAAGGCAGATTTCACTTTGGATGACTCAAAGAGGCAAGACTGCGGCAAAGCAATCAGGCTAAGGCACTGTTTCTAGACTTATGGCTTGTGTGCAAAAAGCTTGCAATATTCATATATTTTTACCTAATAAAGAAAAGAGGATTTAAAAAAAACAGAGTCCCTTTGGTAAAAATTGTAAGATGTTTTTAAACCTTGATATATTTATGATAATTGTCTTCCTCCATGAGAAACACTACAATGTGGGCACAAGTGTCCCCCCCAAAATAGAACAATGGCAGCTGTAAGATAAAACCCTCATGAGGCTAGCCATGGTGGCGCATGCCTATAATTTCAGCACTTTGGAAGGCTGTGGAAGGAGGACCACTTGAGCCCAGGAGTTTGAGACCCTGTCTCTCCAAAAAAAAAAAAAAACCATGAAAAAATTAGTTATGCATGGTGGAATGTACCTACGATCCTAGCTACTTGGGAGGCTGAGGTGGGAGAATCAATTGAGTCTGGGAGGTGGAGGCTGCAGTAAGCTATGATCACACCACTACACTCCAGCCAGGGCGACAGGGCCAAACCCTTTCTCAAAACAACGACAACAACAAAAACCATCCAATCAACCAAACAAAACACCTCCCCCCCCCCCAAAAAAAAAACCCTCATGAGGTTTGCTGTTTTTAAAGTCACCCTTTACATGTGAAAACAGTCTTTTAGTTTTGAGAGCCAAATAATGGTCATGATAGGAATATATGTTAAAAGCTCTTCTTTGCTATCAATTTTGAAATTCTACATGGAGTTCTAACTTCTGTGATGTGCTCCAGCCGGCTGAAGTAATGAGTCTTTTACTGGTCTGCCTGATTACCAAAAATTATCAACTTGACCTCACACTGACCTTGTTAGCACTGTTAAAAAATTCATTTGCCTCCTTTAACCAGGTATTCCTTTCCACCATGAGTTGACCAAATTCTTCTTGAAGCTGACTCAGTTTCTGGTGAGAGAGCTGGAGGTGTTCTTTCTCCACATAGTCCTTTGACAGCAGAATTCCCAGTGCCTCCCTCTTCAGCTTCTCAACAGCAGAATTCCATTCCTGCAAGAGATCACTCTTAAGTTTATTTTACAACTCTCCCCTGTTATGGACTGAATGTTTGTGTTGCCCCCAAATTCCTCTGTTGAAATCGAATCCCCAAGGATGATATTAGGAAATAGGACTTTGGGAGATGATTAGTGACCTTATAAAAAAGGCCTGAGAGAGCTGCCTTGCCCCTTCCACCATGTGAGGATATGTGGGTTAGGAGTCTGCAACCCAGAAGAGGGCGTTCACCACAACCCGACCGTGCTGGCACACTGAGCTCAAACTTCCCACGCCCAGATCAATGAGACATAAATATCTATTGTTTATAAGCCATTCAGTCTATATTACTTTGTTATAACAGCTCAAAGCAACAAAAACACCCCTTTTTATAATATCTAAGATTCAGAGAACATTTAAATGTGTTGAGTATACAAAAAATCTGCCATTAGATTTTCAAATCATGTAAGTGTAGTAAATACTGTAGTGGTAAATGCATCACAACAGGTTTGAGTACCATATAGATGTAATGGGAAAAGACACAGAAAGAGGATAAAAAGGGAGAGTAGAAAGAGGCAGGAAGTTGGGATGAATGACCAGCAGAACTCCCAGCTGACCTGAATACAGGTCACTTCCATTTCTGTTAACTCCACCTAAAAATACACTCCCAAGACAATGAACAACAGTTGTAAATCTCAAACTCTTTTTGTCCTATTTTTATTCATTTAAGTATAAAAACATATCTTTCCCACAATTCTGTCTCACTGTCAATGTGGGTAAATGTGTGCAAGAAATGAAGAGAAATCATATGTCATATGGCTGTTATTTTTGTGTCTGCCTACACATAGGGCTGTTAGGTTGGTAGAAAGGTATTGGGTTGTTTTTTTTTTTTTTTCTGCCTTTCAAGGTAATTACCTTTGCACCAACCTAATAAGATGAAGTTCTGTTACTCTTCATAAAATGAATAGCTGTTATTGTTCTGTATTTCCTCCTTTATTATATCAGTTTCACCTTTCAAGTCTTCACTCTTATATAGACCTTTCAGAAATTGAAAAGAGGTAGATTTTTACTTTTTGTTGCATGAGGATGGAAAAACAACAGCGAATTAAAATACGAGTTGGAGTAAATCAAACATATTGACATTCAATTTTTTTGAAGGGAAATTCAAGTTTCTTGCAAAAGTCCTGAAGTCAGACCGACTGTCATAAAACAATGAGTATCACTAACATGGCCGTCTTGTTAGTGAAGTTTCCGGTATCCATATAAGCTAAGGTTGAGTGATAGACATAGGCTACTTGTTAAACATGGAAAATTTAGCACAAGGTTTCAGAAATCTCAGTCTGACTCCATCCTGCCTTGTTCTACCAGTATGAAGTGTCCTATTATTAAGTTACATTTGTTATATTACATTATATAAAATAAGTAGAATTTTAGTGCTGTTTGCCATTATTGTTTGCATTCATTCATTCATTCACAGAGTATGCTAAGTACTATGTACCTGGCACTATGCTAAGACAGATGCCTTGGGGAATATAAAAAAAGAATAAAATGGCCTGCGTGGTGTCTCACGCCTGTAGTCCCAGCACTTTGAGAGGCTAAGCCAGGCAAATTGCTTGAGCCCAGGAGTTGGAGACCAGCCTGAACAATATAGAAAAACCTCGTCTATATAAAAAATACCAAAAATCAGCTGGGCATAGAAGCACATGCTTGTAGTTCTAGCTACTCGGCAGGGCTGAGGTGGGAGGATCACTTGAGACCAGGAAGTCAAGGCTGCAGTGAAGTGTGATCATGTCACTGAACTACACACACACACACACACACACACACACACACACACACACACACACACACAAACTCTCTCTCTCTCAATACAATAATAATTAGCAGGTGTTAATATAGAAATTGTACACATCATTTTGTGGTGTCCATAGAACCTGTTACAGAACTTGTGCAAGAAAAAAATATTTTGATCAATGAATACAGGAGCATAAAACGTAAAGTAAGAAATTGGAGGGCCAGGGGCGGTGGCTCATGCCTTTAATCCCAGCACTTTGGGAGGCCAAGACGGGTGGATCACGAGGTCAAGAGATCGAGACCATCCTGGTCAACATAGTGAAACCCCGTCTCTACTAAAAATACAAAAAAAAAAAAAATTAGCTGGGCATGGTGACGCATGCCTATAGTCCCAGCTACTCGGGAGTCTGAGGCCAGAGAATTGCCTGAACCCAAGAGGCGGAGGTTGCGGTGAGCCGAGATCGTGCCATTGCACTCCAACCTGGGTAACAAGAGCGAAACTCAGTCTCAAAAAAAACAGAAATTGGAATTCTTTGAAATATAAAATTGTGGCTTGTAACTATTATAATCCTCAAAAATCCTTAAATTAGATATTATTATTTTTTCTAGTATTGATGTAGGTTCAGAAGAGTATGCTACTTGACGTTACATATCCCGTAAGCAGCAGTACCAGGACTAGTTCACAGGTCTTTGTCTCCTGCTACCTTCCAGGGAATTAAGGGTAGAGGGGCTCCAAAATCTGCAAATTTCTCAGTGCATGCAAATGCAACACTCTTAGTCATGGATATGGGCTACATGAGTTCTCAAGATTTTTCAATTTTTAAAGAGCTATTGTGTCCCCACTTAAGGAAAACTTAATATGTGCCAAGACATTCTTTCATAAAGCACTCTAAACATCCCTACCACTTAAAAGCCATTACTTTAACCTATTGGGAATGAGCAAACATTTTTAAAATAGTACAATATCTGGCACACATAATAGGCAGTCACTAAATGTTAGTCCCACTTTTCTGCTCATCAGTTTTGGTTTATTAGCTCTCCAAAATTTGTTCCTTATTTATGGGTATCCTCCTGTTACCCAGTTGTAAAATAATGGTAGTGAAATGTTTCCCCAAATGTTATTGATTAGTGTTAAGTATTGATCTGTCTTAGGAGATTAAACAAAGTAAAACAAGGTTTTTTGTTTGTTGGTGTTTGTTTATTTACTGCAGTACTTCTCAGAATCTTTAATTTCTTAATGTGCATTGAGACTCTCCTAGAGGAAAGTGTGGTATGGAATATTTTGTCCAAACTCTCTTGATGAACACAAACTGTTTGCTAGTCATCTCAGGGGACCAGTGCTCCAGTTGGAACAATGCTGGAAACAAAGGTTCTGTGGCTAAGAGCAGCTGAATCACCAACTGGGTTCATCAGCTCTTACAAGTCTTTGGGTTTCTTTGTTTTGTCCCTGTTCTCCAGCTCTTTAGTTGATTTCCTCTCTTTGTGCCATTCTTTCTTCGGTCTGTTAAGATCTGTGAGGCATTAATACTCAAACTTAGGTGGAGAAATACTTAATGTGTAAAGATGCAGAAAAAAGCAGGCAATTTTTAAAAAAGATTTGGCATTGACCAGAATCTTCTGTGCTGATTAGGTGGAGTCCACTTAACAAATATGGAGAAGCTCGGGGGGTGGGGGAAGGGTGCTAGAAAAACGGGGGTGAGGCAAGGAAAATGCAGCAGTTAGGATATGAAGAAATGAAATATAGCCATTGTGTGCTCAGTCTAACAACAAACACTAAGCTCTAGGATGTTGTCTTAACTGTCTGCAAGATAGTAAGGGTTGATTTTTTTTTTCTATATATTAGTGGTGTGCTAAATGCTTTACATGCATTATGTCATTTAATCTTTACCATATTGCTTTGAAGTAGGCACTGTTATTATCTTCATTTTGCAAATGGAGTAACTGGGGCTTACCAACTTGCCCAAGGTGTTAACATTAGTAAGAGAAAGAGCCAAATTTCAAACTCAGGTAGTTTGACCCTACAATCTACTATGTCAACTAGTATTCCAGCCCCAGCTATTCTCAGTCTTGATATACTGTTTTTCTCATCAAAGAATGATTAACCATGTTCTTCTGGAATTTCCTAGGTAAAACTTCCATATGGCCTGGACAAGACCTTGGAGGTGATAAAAATTGTATGTGATCCTGAGATTCTCAGATTTGAAACCAGAAGTCTTGCTATGTCAGAATAAACACAAAGCTAATATAGATACAGTTGAAAATTTACAGCCCAAACTCAGACTTAATTTTGCTTAGCACCTAGAACAAAATAACAAACCTCTTCTCCATGAATAAGAAAAGAAATACCTGTTCTCTAACAATGTTCATAAATCTGCCTTCAGTGTAAATTAAAGAGACTACTGGGGTAGAGCCAAGTCTTTGAAAACCCTCTTTAACCTTAAGCTTCACATCACGCCATAAACAGTGGACTGTGACCTTCTAAAGAAGCTGTAAAGGACTCTTTGTGCCTCTTATCGTTTTTTGTTCTCCATCCCCAGTCTCCTTAATTACATTTTCACATGAACTCTGTGGGTATTAAATGAAACTGGGTCCATTCAATATTTCTATTCAATCTTCTCAGAAAAATTGGTTGTTTTCTTTGGACAATCTATAGGCAGTTTCTGAAGCATTTCTATACCATTCTGGTAATGTGTTTATTTCCCCAGCCATTTTGTACAAGGGATGCTTCCACTATTTTATTTTTAAGATAAAACTTTCCAGAGCCATCTGAATCCATCACACTATTTAAAAAATATAGTTGTCACCCTTGTCAAGGCTAGAGGAGCCCGGTGGAGAAAATCTCATTGTTTTCTCTAAGCTCTTGCTGCCTGCCTGCTAAGTGTTAAACCTCTAGAGGGTCTCAGTCACTTTGCAATAAACTATTTCCAGTACTTGTCCCCACCAGCAGAAAGACAAAGACTTCCATTTCCGTGGCTTTTCAATTTGACACAGATACGTGCATATCTCTGACATGATACAGACGTGAGGCCCTGTGTGTTCCCAGGCTTGTGGTGTCTCCATAGGTCACTCCTTTATTTTCATTTTTCACTCACAGTAGGAACCTTTTCAACTGTACCTTTCACTATTCCATTTGCTGAGGAAATTGAGCTTCTCTGAGATCACTTGATTGAAAGGGCACTTTTAAGAGGATTAGTGCTGATAGGCAAGAAAGCGAAAAAGATTTC